TTTACGACGATGCATTAAATCCGGCGTCGCTATAAATCGGCCGAACATTTCCCTAAGACGATTTCTGATCGAGTCTGAACGCTTTCGCCTTTCTGTACCACATCGAAACATGATTTACACTTCTGGAGAGAAGACGCACGGGCCAAGACGGACGACTTGATGTTACAGACTGAGGACCGTGTAAAACACAAAACGCACAAATCTGTAAACGAGGGAAGTGAGACAAAAACGAACAAAACTGCGTTTCCAGCTGTTAGAGTTATCACCTTCGCCAGCCAATCAGCAGCAAGAACCCGACTTACCATCTTGATGTCACTAATCGTGGCAATGCTTCTTACAAAGAGGTTTACTCGAACAATAGCTGCTCCATCTATCAAGACGTCGTTAAAAAAAGACAAACAACACAAAAACATCTCAAAAATAATGACAGACACAGTTTAAATCACAAATTGATAGCCTTGGGCAGACTGGCAGATAAGAGAACAGCCATCTTGTCAGCTGGACCCATGGAAATTATATAAGTGCAAAATAAATTACATTCAGCACTAGTATAAAACTCTTTTCGGATCTAATCAACACTTATCAGAACATGTCAGACTACAAGAAAAGTGTCCAGTTAACTGCGACACTGTGTGAAGTGTTCAACTCCATTACTGTAATTTTCTGCGTGTTCTTTTATGAAAAGAAATTTGCAAAAAAAAAGAAACAGACAATGAAGGAGATTGGAAGAAACGAGAAAATAATGTGGTAAAACATATCAACAAAAAGGAATAAAGAAAGATAATTAAGACATTTTCACAAACGTACTCCTTTCATAATAACGTAATACCGAATTATGTTCAGTCTAAATGATGTACATTTATCTAATCTTCTTATAATTATAAATATTTCCTTATGAGTCTATGACACATTTGCCTCATTATGCCACATGAAATTAAAAAAAATAATTAAATTTATGATTTGTGTGGCTTCGCAGGGGCCGACATGTACGACCTAATTTTTTACGTCGTCGAGAGACGATGAACCTGTTGAAGGCTAAGGGTTACTGTACATAGAAACTGCCGCTGTTAATTTGGAAGAGTTTAAAGTAGTTCTTAATGAGTTTGTCCCACTATACGCCATGTAGGCGCTTGTGGGGAGAGGAGGAATAGCTCCTCTCTTCCTTGACCTCGGCACTAGATGGGGGTGAGTGGTCAGCATCACGCCCCGGCCGGCTTGACCCCCGGGAAAGGACCCCGGTACCCATTGTAGAGGAGGCTGGGTGGGCCCCAGAGCCGGTCTGGACGCAGAGGCTAGAGGAAAAATCCTCTGCCCCCGTCGGGGATCGAACCCCGGCCGTCCAGCCCGTAGCTAGTCACTATACTGACTGAGCTATTGCAATATTTTTCGTTGTTATGTTTGTCAAATGTCACACGGACAAGGATATGATACACATCAACACAAATAATCTTGCGTAAAATATATTTATATGAAATGCAGTCTGCTGAGTAAAAATGAGTTTTGTTTAAGAGAACAGATGATTATAAAATAAAGTCAAAACCATTCCGGGAATCACCAGTCGAGGTAGGGGGTAAGGTTACAGGATTTGACAGTTGAAACGAGAGCACATCTTAATTCTTCGCCCAACTGTGTGACAGAGTTGTTCCTCTGCATGTAAATTAACTCGTAAAGGTCAAGTTATCCCTATCGACCTCTGACCTTTCAGTTTTCAATTTACCCGAGATTTGGAAACTTGGCTGGGCTGAAGCTCTATGTATCTAGCCTCGTGTATTTTTTCCAATTCGCTGAACAAATGCAGAGACTACTTCGTGTTTCTATACGACGTCACCGGCTGTTTCGCAAATATCTAAACGAAAGGCACAGGATCACTATGAATTTTGTAGTATGTCACCTACATTTAGACCAAGCGAGATTACATACGGTCACTTTATAGAGAAATACGTCATAAATTATAAATAAATAGGCAAGGATTTAGAAGGAGACAATCGTAACATATATCATGGTACGTACTATCGTAGCATTCGCAGTCGGTGAATGAGAAATATCGTTAAAATATTAATTATAATAAAAAAATGACCGAGATTCGTATAGAGCACAGTTTTAATACGGAGTCACCGGGATTTATGTTTTAGTAAACACCTCCCGAGTAGGCAAATTGGCTACCTCGCACTCCGAACACTATGACTGTGTGGTTTTGTAAAATGTGACGAGTAAAAACCACTCCCCGAAAACATTTACCTAATTTAAAACTCAAGAACATACCCAGTTTGTTGTCCTGCGATGTTTATAATCAGGAAGGCACTGCTATGAATTTTGTGCTCGGCATTAAACTAATGACGTTATACAGTTTAAAAAACGTTTAATCAAATTTGAATCACCCTGTATATGTTAATTTCATTTCGTTAACATTCTTTTATCAATTTATATGACTTCTTCCCCCAGTGCACTCCCCATCAAGAACCCAGGGCTTTAAGACATTCATCGACTTTCGAAAAATCGGTAGTAATATTCCTCAGCGACCTGCAGTGGGCAACACGATATTTGTGGGCTCACGACGGCGGCATGTAAATGTCGGTTAACTGAGGTCAATTTATTGCGTGAATCAATTTCTGAGGACAGCAACAAAATACCTAAGCTGATCAAAAAATAATTAGATACCTTACAGACCCAAACATATTCACAGAAGGTAGTATATTTGCGTCATATTGTGAATTATGTTAATATTTTAACATTTTCCGTCAAATCACAATTTTAATAAGATAATAAAATATAAAATATTTAAAATATCATTTAACGTTCCGCATCGAATGATCGATTTACAAATTGGAACGTCTCTTACGACATGTTTCGGTTATTATTATCTTATTAAAATTGTGATTTGACGGAAAATATTAAAATATATTCACAGAAAACCTTCCAATAGTACGTATATCGAGCCAGTTAAATCTAATCAATTTTTTCACAACCTGTGTCTCTCCTTCCGTCCTAAAGACGTACTGCAACATTATTTTCGTTTGGAATTTGGTACCTCCAGTTATATTTCTTAATTGAACGCGACGCCACATGACATATCACAAAATCA